ATTCGCAAGAATATTATTTTAAAATCAAAGTTAATTTTTTCTCATAATTTCGACAGATAATTTTTGAATATATGGATGCACAAATAATGTATTTTTTTAATACATTGGTTTTCACTACTTTGGCCATTATAAAATAAATATATTTTGTAAAAGTGTAATGAATCTCGCGGACCGGAAAAATGTTCAAGGCGGGCCACATGCGGCCCGCGGGTTGGCCACCCCTGTCCTAGACGGTGAGTCACACGAAAGTTTTCCTTTCCCTTAAACACGGATTGGGCGTGAGATCCAGTTCCGAGTCTATTTTCTCCTTGGTGAGCCTCGTCGTTTACTAATTCGTACGTCAGGAAGATTTCCATTTAGAAAAATTGAAGAGAATATATTCCGGATTTCCCGTTCAGTTTCAAACGCAAGTCCTGTGTTTTTAAAGCCAATTGTGCAGTTCTTCAGACTTAGTGACTTCATATATAGGAAAGTTCTTCTTGATAAACTAATAGTCGCTCAGCTATCCAAGACATTTCCCAATTTTTATCGAACCCAAAGTTCATTATCGTGTTCACAAAAGTCGGCCATCAGTTCCTAGTTTTAGGCACTTAAAAACCAGTCTTCATCCTTCATTTTACGTTATTATTCCTTGCATGTGTTCATCTCATTCCCTTCAGGTTTTACGACCAAACTTTTACGTTTTTCTCGCCTGCCCCACAAAACAGAACTGCAAAACTTGCAGAGATCTGTATTACCGATTGGAGTATCCATTAGAAACCAATTTGTTTCCTACTGAGGCTGTTTCTAGGCTACACGGTGGCTGTGTAGTGCAGGTGTGCCTATAAATCAAATTCGCACGAAGTAAATGTGACGTATCGAGCAAATGAAGGGAAATCCTTTGTAAAATTACAGTCTTTCAGACTCGTTTAACTTCCGGTTTGTGTCGTCGTCCGTTTCCTGCTTCAAATTTATATCCCACTCCAACCACAATAGCTATTGCTAATGGAACTTCTGAACGAAATATGTCGTGTTTTCTAGGGCACTTCCAAACGACTAAAACATGGCAGCCTCGCAAATTATTGAGGTGCGAACTCTGCTGGTGCCAAACAGCGACAGATCTATTTAAACTGCGCAGTTTTGTTCTTACAACAGATCGTAAGGGGATTAGACACAGGTGGGAGGTTAGTCAGAGTATGAAATTAGCCCACAATATGGTCCAGTGGAGGGAAGCCTTAAAAGGCAAGGAAATTCTGCACCAGGAAAGCGACTACCAGCTTCTCAATAACTGTGTTTCATCGAGTTGGTGAACTCATTTGTGTATGCCAAAAATTCCTGTAAATATACAAACATGGCGACTCCGCGAACCTCTAAAACAATATTTTTTTATTATTATTATTTATTTAGTGTTCTGTCTGACGACAGGTCCATATGAACAGGATCCTTCCATCCTTTTCTCGGACTGGGACCTGTTCATATACGTTCTTGGCAGATGATCCAGAAGTGGTTTGCAATTGCCTTCTTCTGTGTGTGA